GTTTGTGTTTCTTCTAGAGACTCCTGTATGTCAACGCGGGAGCTTGTACTTTGTGTTTTTTCAAGAGACTCGTGTTTGCCAACGTGGGAGCTTGTTTTTTGTGTTTCTTCCAGAGACTCATGTTTATCAAAGTAAAACTTTGTAATATGTGATTTGTTTGGAGACTCGTGTTTATCAACGTGGGAGTTTGTAGTTTGTGTTTTTTCCAGAGACTCCTGTTTGTCAACGTGGGAGTTTTCAGTTTGTGAATTGTCCAGAGACTCCTGGTTATCAAAGTAAACATTTGTAGCTTGTGATTTGTCCGAAGACTCATGTTTATCAACGTGAAAATTTGTAGTTTGTGATTTACCCAGAGACTCCTGGTTATCAAATTGTGAGTTTGCAATTTGTGAGTTGTCCAAAAATTCATGATTATCACTGCAGATATTAACATTTTGCGATTTATCCCAGGTAACATGTGCATCAATGTCGAAGCTTTGATATGGGGATTCAGCTAAAATAATTTTTTCATCGAAATCATTCTGGGTAGTGTTGTATCCTTTGATCCCTGCTTCGTTCTGTAGTGTCATATTGAATGACTTTATACTCTCTGATTTGCATAAAGCATTATGTGAATTAATATCAGATCTTTCAACCTTCAGTTTATCCAAAGTACCGCCATTTGAGAAGTGGCAAATCTCACTGGAGGCATTTCTCCAGGAGTCTTTATTTGAACCAACATCTGATGCTGATGCAAAGGCATGATGCTCAGATGGAAAAATTCCAAAGTCTTTAAAACCATCAGACGCATATGTTGAGTTGATCGTACTTGACTCTTCGATCGATGAAGTAAGAGAATTTCTAAAGGGGGAAAAAAGATATATATTAACTTGTTTAGTCTTTTACGAATAAAGATATTAAAATATTAAAGTATTCAATGATACTTACAAGTATAAAATTTGTTTTGGCCCATATCTTTACAAATACACAACCTTCTATTTTACCTTTATTTAAAAGTCGGTTTTCTTTTGATAGGCATATAACACCGGAATTTCAAATATAAAACTATGTAAACGCAAAACTGAAACAACTGTCTTCGTGATAATTATGCAACGTCAAGTTATTAGCACAGATGTAGGGATAATATTAAATATGGAAGGCTAAGTTTATGGCAAACAAAATATGAACAGTAAACTGAAATTTTTCAATTAGTTTAGCAGTAAACTTAATAAGGTCGTTGGACATAAAAGAGAGTTCTTTGTCAATATTTCCCACTCGCACATCCAAGAACCCAAGAAAAGATAGTCTACATTGACATGAACCAGAGTTACTATAATAACAAATGAGTCTGTTAGGTTGTCTTTCTGGGGAGGGGCGTCTTAATAAGATGTCTGGAGAAAACTGGAACTATTTTTAAAACCGGAACTTCTGGTTCCTTGATGATAAAAAAACCTCAAGAAAACGTCAATATGTACCAGGTGTATATAAGTGTAAAAAATAACAACCGAAACACGTCATTACGATAGATTTATACTGAGATTGTTAAAGTTTTAAGGAGGGGCGACTTATTCAAACTATTTAGTATTCAACTGAACTTTGTAGTATGCTCATGAATATTTAGAACCAATCTACTTTTCTATCAGTACTTTTACACCGAATCACACCAAGACATCAAATAAAAAGAAACATTTTTGAACTTACTTACTATAGTGCCTCATCGAGAATGAGAGATATTAGGTAACACAAACTCTTTGAAATAATATGTCAATGCTTTGCTTCTTCATAAAGAAATATCAACATTTAAATATATGCATTACGTACATGGCCACAGCAAGAAGTTTTTCCCTTTTTCTTTGGATGAAAAATATAAATTATTTCAACAAATAAAACCTTAAGCTATTATGAATTTGAAACAAGTTTTAACTATATAACTAACTATAATCAAGGTATTACCTGTATTGTAAACTAAAATATGCATTTTGAAGGTTTAGAAAATGTCATGATGGAATGTAATACGATAGATGTGCTTCACAAGCAGGCAAAGTTAAATTTCGTAATCAAGGATATATATATATATCTATATAACTTTTCTATAAATCACCTCAGAATTTGCCATTACAAAAAGTCACATAACAATACAAGAGACTTGATCTGAGGCCTTTTCCGTTCAGCTGCCCCTTAGCAATTTCTTTACCATCTGAATTTCTAACCTACTGAATTCAATAAACAGCTAATATAACATTAATTTAAAAAAACAATGAAATAAAACATGTCTGAAATATAAGTTGGGCATTATTCAAGTTTTAAAAGCAGCAACTTTCCCGGTTAGCATACAAAATTAATGAAACGGTTCTTTTGACATAAAATGTCTTAATTATGATTGATCAAGTTACTTTAAACAGATGTGCCAAACATACAGAATAGGCACATGCCCCAAATGTAATTAAAGAAGGGTGCAATCTGTATATTTACCCCCTTCTTCGACTTTTTCACTTATTATACATAAACTGTTATTAACAACTATGTTAAACTGACAAAATGGTGAATCTCATAATTAGATCATACCTACAATGGATTTGGCATGCCAAGTATTTTGTACCGCTGTTTATACAATATATATTTGCTGTTATTTGTGATGTATTTAAACATGAAATTCCCTTAGTTTGTCAGAGCTTCTTAACTGTGATCTAGAATAAAGTTGGCAAGCATAACTTTTGCCTCCCCCCCCCCGTTCTTTCCTCTGATTTTAAATGGATTATTTCTCCAATTCAAGGTGTTATATTTCACACAAGTGTGAGAGGAAATGTGACACTTTACAACTTACGAAAAGAAAATGTTCGTAGTTTCAACACCACCTATCATGACTTTTAGAACGATGCAACATATTACATTGTATCTGCGCACAAACTTTGATAGAGTGTAATCATGTTTCCTGAAAAACATGCAAAGTTTCACAATAAATTCAATTATTGAAGCCACAAGTGGCCTACACTTTGAGGCCATGGCTCTCCAAAGCTTGAAGTAACTTAACATAAAGTAATACATAAATGGTTCAACTATTTTCTTTTTCCTTCGATATAGTTCAATTGCTTCTGAGATCATTAGGAAAAGTGATGTGCACAGGGGGTTAGTTAAGTGAGCTGAAACCCCTGTCTTCCCACCATTATGTCCCTAAAGTGCCCTTTTTCTCTGTCATAAAAATGTTCAACAACTACTAAAAGATACACCTGATTTAACACCTTGCTTGCTGCGAGTTATCAGAAAAAAGAAAGAATATTTCAACTTTTAAAATAAATGTGACGCGGGACTTGTAGGATTTTAAAGTAAAAAGAAAAATGAGAGATACCATTGTTAGATACACACGACTGTTTAAGTTTAATGCGAGTGTTAAATTTAGTTACGTTTAGAAGCGATAGTTTATCGCGGGTTTGTTTACGTAACTGTGTACAAATCATACATTGTGTAGTTCCATTGTTGTGATTTGGCGCTTGTATTATTTCGTTATGTTACTAGAACCTTCTAAGTTTTTCTCGTTGTTTTGATAGAGTATTATTACATTATAATATCTAGTAGTGTGTAGAAAGTTCTAGGCTTCGGTCAGGCTACGAATACGCGTACAAAATGTAATTCGAGTAAGTAAGTTTGTTTGTTTGTTTTGGAATTTCGCGCAAAGCTACACGAGG